TTAGCATAAATTCTTAATTCTTATATTATTTTATTTAAGTATGGGCCTCATTTTAGAAATTGCAACGTGGGGCCGYGGTGCAATGAACCGCCCGCACCGCGGTTTCTACGGCACTGCATTTTGATACAAAACAATTTTATATTAAGAGGATGTTACATCCGCATGTGTTGTCTCCGTCTTATAAGTGCTAACTTACTATCTTAAAATACACATAACTTACTTTAAAATTAAAATGTAATAAAAATCCTGAGAAGCCATCAAAAATAATGTTACCTTTAATTTTTWAAAGAGGTCAATTCATTTTAGATTTTAAACTAATGGAGTTAAACCTGATCTACTGAGCGTAAAAATTGCTATGTTAGTACTTATAAGACGGAGACAGCACATGCTGTTATAGTGTTCTCTTAAAATAATAGGTATTTAAAACTTTATTTTATTATTATAMATTTTATTTGGTAATTTTTATAAATTGTATTCCATTTTGTTTCTACAGAGGTTAAGATTTTCTGTAAGTTCTAAGTATTGAAATTAATGTTTATTATTTAGGTCGGTGAATTATTTGAAGAAGGCATACGAACCGACAGAAGTAGCGATTCGAGTCGTAGGACTCAAATGTCTAGACATATAAGAGCATGGTCGACTGGTGGAACAGCTACAAACACCCAAACATTTTCTGCCATTAATAGATTATTTTCAGAACGCATTGACATATTTTCACCAGTTCAATTTTCGAGGGTTTCTATTACAACAGGCATTATTAAAATAAGTCTCAAGGTTTGGATATTTTCTGTATGTTTGTAATCTAATTGTTTTCATTTATTTTCTTTTAATGCTATAGACACTTTTAGAATGTGTTCGTTTAAGAACATTTAATCGTTACGGACTTCAACAGGTTCAAGTCGATATTCATTATTTACAGCTTTATTTGTGGCGATTTGTTTCGGATGAAAAGTATGATATTACATAGTTATTATATTATCATAATATTATAATTTAAAAGTAATTKATAAATTTATAAAAATGAAATTGCTAAGTATAAAGTATATATTTTTAAGTACTTACTTAA